AGAAGGGACCAATCCCTGGAGAAGGATATCAAGCTTGGTAAAGTGGAGGGTCAGCGAAAAAGGGGAGGCCCTCAAGAGATGGACTGATGAGTGGCTGCAACGATGGGCTCAGGTATAGCAAGGATTTTGAGGCTGGGACACGACTGGGCAGTGTTTTGTTCTGTTGTACACGGGGCCGCTATGAGTTGGAATTGACTAGATGGCACATAACAACAACAGCAATCATGAGAAAAGCATCAAACAAGTTTTGATTGAGGAATATTCTGCAAAGCCTCTGAGAAGCACGGCTCCACACTGTCAGGGTCATCGAAAACAAGAAAGTCTAAGAAACTGTGCAATCAAGAGGAGCCAAAGGAGGCATGGTGACTAAGTGTAATGTGGGATCTGGCGACAGAAATAGGGAAACATTAGGAAACAACTGGGGAAATCTTGTACGTATGGCCTTTAGTTAATAATAACACATCAATGGTGGGTCATTACCAGTGACAAGTGGATGACAGTAACGAGGACATTAACAGTCAAGAAAACTCAGTGTGCGATACACAGGAGCTCTGTTATCTTCACCTAAATTCTTTCTGGTGGCATAGGGCCTAAGGCATCTGACTGCTGACCAGAAGGTTATCAGTTCAAACCCACCAGCCACTCCATGGAAGGAAGACTGGGCAATCTATTTCTGTAAAGATTTACCACCTTGGAAACCCAACGGGGATCACTATGAGTTGGAATTGTAGCCTGAATTTGAATTGTAGCCTGGTGCTTCCCTAATAAACCCCATAATCTGTTTGTGTGGCCACTGCAGTGAATTATTGAACCCAGGAGAGAGGTGGTGGGTGCTTGGTTTTGAGTTTTTATTATCTTCACAGTAATTCTGTGAACCTCAAATGTTCTAAAATTAGAAGTTTATTTAAACATAAACAGCTACATTGTCTCGAGTTGGGTGAGAGTTACTGGGTGCTAAAGGGGCAAGGAGGCCACATCTTCTGACCTCCTCTAACCCCACAAAAGGAAGACAGAATCACTATCAATAGCCCAAGGCTTATTCCTGTGAGGCCAGACATGCTGCCTCCCTCCAGCCCTTTCACCAGCTGTTCCTCTCCAAGCACCCACCACCTCTCTCCTGGGTTCGATAATTCACTGCAGTGGCCACACAAACAGATTATGGGGTTTATTAGGGAAGCACCAGGCTACAATTCAAATTCAGGAAAAACACTCAGTCTCTCTCCCAGCCCACTGTCTCTCAGCCAACAGTCTCTCACAGTCTCTCTCCCAGCAGTGCGTGTCCCTTGGTGTCTCTCTCGGCAATGCATGTCTCTTGCGTCTCTTTCCTAGCAGCACATGTCTTTCAGGAGTGCGACCCTTCTCAGCAGCACGTCCTTCTTACCTCGTGGTCAGAGAGCGTTCTGCCTCTAGGAGGTCTCCTTTTGAGCCCGGTGGAATGGCCAAACTAGCCAATCATAGCATCAGAATTCTAAGCACCAGAGAGAGCGCGTGTATACCAGCGAGCCTCCCAGAACATTGCTTTGTGCCACGCCCAATAGAAATATCCCAGGTGGATAACATTTACAATCAGGAGCTCCTCAATTGCTCCCAGCAAATTCCACCACAGAGTTTACAAAGACTTATGGCTAGAAAAGCCATACCAGGTAATTTACTACACTGCACTGGGTCTATGGTGTGGTGGCTGTCTGCAGCCATTGACCTGGCCCTCGGCTCATGGCCGCCCCATGCACAGTGCACAGGGTGCTGCCGGGCTCACCTGTCCCTGTGCTGGATCACAGACCAGACCCTGGTGATCCAAAGGGTGTTTGTTCTGGAACTAGATGGCCAGGCCTTTCCGCCTAGTCCATCCTGGTCTGGAAGCGCCACTGAAAGCCTGTCACCATCACAGCAGCCTCAGAAAGCCCCAGCTCACGGCCATGGTTCTGACTCTTTGCGACCCCTGTTGGGTTTCTGAGGCTGTCCATCTTTACAGAAGTTGTTGTTGTTGTTAAGTGCCGTCGAGTCGTTTCCGACTCATAGCGACCCCATGCACAGCAGAACGAAACACTGCCCGATCCCGTGCCAGCCCCCAATCCCTGCTGTACTTGAGCCCATCATCGCAGCCACCGTGTCAATCCATCTCGAAGGCCTCCCCCTCTTTTGTCGACCCTCCACCCTACCAAGCATGACATCCTTCTCCAGGGAATGGTCCCTTCTGACAACATGACCAAAATAGGTGAGACGAAGTCTGGCCATTCTTGCTTCCAAGGAGCATTCTGGCTGCACTTCCTCCAGGACAGATCTGTTAGTTCTTTTAGCAGTCCACGGTGCTTTCAGCATTCTTCACCAGCACCACAACTCAAAAGCATCAACTCTTCTTCGGTCTTCCTTATTCATTGTCCAGCTCTCACATGCATACCAGGCGATTGGAAATATCATGGCTTGTGTCAGGCACACCTTAGTCCTCAAGGAGATGTCCTTGCTCCTCAGCACTTGATACAGTTCCTTCGCAGGTGACTTCCCCAATGCTACACGTCGTCTAATGTCCTGACTGCTGCTCCCGTTGGCATCGATTGTAGAACCAAGCAACGTGAATTTACAGAAGTAGATCGTTACATATCCCTTCCATGGAGTGGCTGGTGGGTTTGAACTGCTAACCTTCTAGTTAGCAGCCAAATAAATGCCTTATGCACTATGACACCAGAGCTCCCATAGCAACCTACACATGTCAGAATTCATCAAGCTGTCCACTTAAGGTTTATACACTGTACTGAATGCATGCAATGAGGTCCAAACAATTTGGAGTGAATTTAGGGCAAAAATCCGCAGTTACAGCTTCTCTTGAAAAATCAGACTGTCATGCTGCGCTAGCCTGCTTCCGACTGGCATTAGTCAGTGGGGCTGGGTGGCAGGTGCCCCTTTAGGCAGGGCGAGCGCTCTCAGCTTGTCACGGGCTCCACTTTCCTGCTTTCTCCTCCCTGGCCCTGATCCCTGCTCTGCTGTTGTCTGCTGGCACCTTCAGGGCTTGGAGTCTTGTTGGGGTGGGAGGGTGTGTGTGAGATCTGGGAACCCTGTGGGCACTGCAGGTCCCAAGAGACCCGCTGCAGCCGGTTAAGACCGTCCTGCTAAACGCCCCCAACAGAGCCTCCCAGGCTGGGGAACCCTGAGTTGGGCCTGGTCTTCCCCTGGCATACAGCCAGGACTCCCCTTCGCCTGCAGAAGGGGCAGATGTCTTCTCAGACAGCAATGCCATCTGTCCCTGCCCTGGAAGGAGGGCAGGCCGTGGCTCCCAGAGACACCGCGGGGGCCGAGGGACCTCATCTTTTCCGCAGGGCCTGCCAGATTGGCAGGAGCAATCTCCTAATTGAGGATTAAGGATTAATTGGGATCTCCAAGGCTGAGTGGTGATGGAGGCTGCTGTAGCCAGCGCCGGCACCTCGGCATCCAGGCTCTGGGCAGGGCACCACGGGCAGCTGCCCGCCTCCTCCATACCAGGGCCATCTAGTTGGCGGGAGTGATGGTGACGGCCCTGCGGGGTGCTGGACGCTTCTCCCCACTTCTTGAGCAGGACGCCAGGCTGCTCTTCCCTCCCGCAGTGCCTGTCCCTGGCCACCCTGGGTGCACTGTCTTTTGAGTCCCTCCCAGCCCGGGTATAATCCCACCTCCACTCGTGTGACTTAGGCTGGTCCTCGCCCTCCCGGAGACCTCAGGGGTCAGATGCAAGGGTGCTTTAACCCTTGGGTGATGGGCAGTCGCGGGCAGCTTCTGACCGGAAAATTCACAAAATCCACATGGAATTTCAGGAAGAATCCGGCAGCATGTGCTGCGAGGACAGGAAGGGCGAGGTAGCACGTCACATAGAGCAGCCACGCCTCGAGTCACTCAATCTGTAGGATGGAGCTGTGGAGACTGGAGTGCAGGATTGGAGGGTGGGGTCTTCTAGGAAGCAGACACTGAGCCAAATTGAAACGGAAGAGAGAGAAAGGTGAGGGGCCAGGTTGGGCAGGAGAGCCTCTGACCAGAAGATGGAGCTGACAGTCTCAGCTAAGCTACGGGAAGCAGAGTGCCCACAGAGAGACACACCCTGGGCAGAAATGCCCCGGTTCTAGTCCTCCACCCTGCTCAGTCATTGGCTGGGGGCTCCAGGCAAGAGTGGGGCATCGGCCCCAAAGCAGAGGCTTATTATCCACGGTGGCTAACAGCTGCAGGCCTGCACACCTTTGCCTCCATGTCCCCACTCTGAACAGCAAATTCTTTCCCCGAGTGGCACACCCCCGACGCTGCTGCCGGAGTAAATGTGGCAAAGCTCGGGCAAGCGCGTTCTCTGCCCTTGAACTTAATAATTGACCTGGCAGGAGCCACTCACTGGATGAGGGACAGGAAACACGGAGGCCGGCACACACCTGAGCTGAGAAGCGGATGGTCTCACTCCTCCAGGAGATTCGCTCTGTGCTGGGCCCAGCATCCAAAGGGGAAGAAAAGCAGGCCCCTGCCCTCACAGAGCTCAGAATACAGGGGGCTGGGGCCCAAGAGGGATCCCTGGGTGGTGCCCACGGCTGACGCACTCAACGGCTGAGTCCACACAGCAGTGCCTCAGAAGAAAGGCCTGGGGGTCTGTGTCCAAGGAATCAGCCAGCAGAAACCCCATGGCGCATGGTTCTCTGACACGCACGGGGTTGGCATGAGTTGGCATCGACAGGATGGCAGCTGGTTACAGCCCAAGAGGAACAGCCCCAACAGTCCCAGGACCTGGAGCTTTTGGGGTCAAATACTGAGGGTTCCAGGGTGAGCAAGTGAGAGATAAAGGCCACCTCCCCAGGTTTGAAGACACTTTATTTCAGAGAAACAGATATGGGGGGATGGGAGGATGGGAGACTCTGGTGGAGGGCGTGGGGGGAAGAGGCAGGTAGAGGCATTGCACACAGGTGGGGGGGGGGGAGGAAGGTCCAAGCCGCAGGCCTTGGGGCTCCAGAAGCTGTATTCCTTCAGTCCTGTCTGCCGCTGCCAGCTTCTGTCCAGGCTCAACGGGACATCATCCGTACAAATTCTGCCAGGACAAAGCCAAGGTTTGGGGTCTGCTCTCTGGGCCCCTGTTAGGGCAAGGCCAGTCTGACGGCCTTGGGTGGGAGGGGGTGCTGTCAGGAGAGGAAGCCCCCAGGGTCTGTTAGGGAATATGCCTCAGGGTCAGGAAGAGGTGGGTTTGCAACGGCTAGCAAGCTGGGGAGCAGGGGAGTAACTGGGGCCTCCTGGAGGCGTGCAGGACTATGGCCTCCCTTTCCTTGCCATCATATGACCCTCTTGTCCTCGCTTCCCTTTTATGGGCATGCCGCGTAGAGAAAGGCTTGGGTTCTGCATCAGGTGCCCAGATTCAAACCTTGGCTTCATCCATTCCCTTTTGTTGTGTGACCTTAGCCAAGTGCCTAAACGTCCCTGAGAACTGAGTTTCTTCTTCTGAATAGTGGCGTAGTGGTTGCTCGCCCCTGGGTTCTTGTGCTGATGAGCCGGTTGAGGACACGGGAGCGCTCAGTGAGTTCCCTTCGGGCGCGGTACCTTCGAAGTCCACCAGGCCGTCGCCGTTGAGGTCCATGTCGTGCAGCATTTCGTCCACCTCGCGCTGGCTGAGACGCTCGCCTAGCAGGACCTTGAGCGCCGCGCGGAGCTCGCCCACGCTGATGCGGCCGTCCCTGTTGGTGTCGAACTGTACCGGTGGGGGGCGCCGTGTCGGCTCGCCGGAGGCATCAGTCATGCACTCAACCCCCAGCCACAGCAGACACGCGTCCCCGCCGCCCTCCGGCCCCAGCAGCTGCACCTCCCGGAAGGCGTCGCGCAGCTCCCTGACGCCGATCATGTCCGCTGTCTCCGCCAGCAGCTTGGGGCCCATGAGCTCCAGGAAGTCGTCAAAGTCCACCTTCCCGCCACCTGGGGATGCACGCATCAGAGACCCGAGTGCCCGGCCCCGGGCCCTCCTAGACCCTCTCCCTCTGGCCCGGGACCCTCTCCCCCCACTGCACTAACTGGGCCCCTCTTCCCCTGCACCCTGCAGGCTGGCTGTTTTTTCCTGATGGCAATCACCGTGAAGCAAGGCACAGATCTGGTGAAAGGTGACGGGAAAAAGCACTCCCTTGAAACTTCCTGGGACTTTCCTCATTGTTTAGTAAGTTTCCTGAAGAGATGGGACTGAGTTCAAATCCTGGCCTCAGTAGTTTCCTGCTGTGTGATCTTAGGCAAATCACTCAACCTTTCAGAACCTCAGTTTTCTCGCGTGTACATTGGGGATGATGGTTCTCACCCATCTCCTGGAGGAGGTGACACTTCCCCGGAGGGAGAGATTGCCCTGGGGTCCAGGGGGCCCTCCTGGGCGGGCCTGGCACTGGGAGGTGGGGCGGGGCGGAGGCACGTACTGATTTGCTGTGAGATCTCAATGAGCTCCATCTCTGTGGGCATGTAGCCCAGTGTGCGCATGCAGGCGCCCAGCTCCCGGTAGCCGATGTAGCCGTCCCGGTCAGTGTCGAACTCCTGGAAGGCCACCTGCAGCTCTGCCGGACAGGACGGGGTTAGTCCTTCCCCATGTCACCCCCCCACCCTGGCGGCCTGGACCAGCCCGCCCTTCTCTTCTTGGTCCCATCACTCCCTCCGTCTGCACATCATTGTCTCCTTGGTGCCTCAGGGCCTTTGCATGTGTGCTGTTCGTTCTATCCATTCTTTCAGCAAATATTTAGGGGGGGTCTACTTTGTGCCAAGCTCTGCTTTAGGCACTGGGGGTTCACTAGTGAATGAAGAAAGGAGAGAGAAATGAACCCTCCACGTTGTAGAACCTTCTCCTGCCTCCTTGGTCCTTAGTCTCCCACTCCAGGAAGCTGCCCTCCCAGTTACTCCCCTCCAGCCCCTTGGTCCATTTGCCCCAGTTACTTCACGCCCTTGGTAATTGTTTTCTGTACTCTAAGCTGACTTAGGGAGCTCTGGTGGCATAGTACCTAAGGCATTTGACTGCTAACCAGAAGGCTGGCGGTTCAAACCCACCAGCCACTCCTTGGAAGGAAGACTGGGCCGGGCAGTCTACTTCCGTAGAGATACCACCTTGGAAACCCAAGGAGGGGTCGCTATGAGTTGACTTGACAGTGAGTGAAGCTGGCTTATGAGGACAGGGCTGTGTCTGTCTGCCGTGTCTGCCCGGGTTCAGCACAGGGCCAGGACACAGCAGGTGCACAGAGAGGTTAGCTGAATGGACACATATGAAAGGGCCCCATGACCAACCAGGGAACGAGGCCAAGAACTACTCAGTCTTGGCCCCATCTCCTTTCTGGGTCCCTGCGGCCTCCTTCTTGCTCCCGGTTCTGCCCCCACCTCGATGCCCCCCACCCTGTGCCCACCTACCCCGGGCGTCCCCCCACCCTGTGCCCAGCCCCCTGGCAACGTTCTTTCCCGGAACCTTTACCTTCAATTTCCTCTGGCCGCAGCTCCCGGTCCTGAGGGGGCACAGAAGGTTAGTGGTTCCCTGGAGCACGACACCCGCACCCCTTCCTTCTTGTCCTCGGGGCCCCCCACTTCCCCCCACACCATTTCCACCCCAGAGCCTGTGTCTGTCTCTGCGGACTGGCCTGGTGGGCTAGGTCCCCCGCCTCTGCCACAAGCCTGGCCTCTCCCCAGTGCCACCCTGCAGCCCACCACTCTGAGCACTGCCTTTGGCGGAAGTGGGCCTGGAGGTTGGGTAGAACCTCAGGCTTGGCCGCGTCGGCCTCAATGTCACTGTGTGTCTCTCCTGTTCTCTCTGTCCTGGGGGCCCTGACACATCCCTCGGTGGCCCTCTGGGACATTCCTCTGGACCTCTTTCTCCTTAGGTCTCCCCACGTTTAATCTTATTTCTGTTTCTGGAGTTCCCGCTCTCCACCTCTCTGCCTCCCCGACACCCTGGAGCTGTGAAGTTCTCACTTGGTCCTCTGCCCCAGTGCAAGGAAGGGCAGGCCAGTGGTGGCCGTACATACGAACTGAGTGGCAGCGATGCTGGGCCGTAGGAAGATGCAGGCAGGCCCCATCAGACTGCTGAACACTGAGTAGCCCTGGACCCCTGGCCCAGGGCCCCTCTGGTCCTCGGGGCTGGGGCTGGGGCAGGAGCCCTCTGGGGGACAGCAGGGCCGCTGCCCGATGTCCTGCAGCAAAGCCGGCCATGAGCTCCACGGCCTGCCCCACTCTCAAGCTCTCCTGCCTCGGATGGTGCGGGGTGCACGGGGCTTGGGGGCCCCTCAACCACAACACTTTAGGCTGGAAGGATCCACCCCGAGCTGTTCAATTGGGCAAACCGAGGCCCAGGAAAGGCGAAGCACTCAACCAAGGTCACCATCAAGCTAAGTGCAGAAAGAGGCCTTGAGCCGAGGTTCTGTGTTCCCGCGGCCCAGACTGGTTCACAGAGAACAGGGTTCTGCAGGAGGGTGGGGGCAGCTGGATGGGCAGCTGGGAGCCTGGCGAGCTGGCAGTGGCCGGCGGGCGGGGCAGGGCAAGCCCAGTGGCCTCTGGGAGCCACAACCAAGGTGGGTCAGAGTCCAGGGGCTTCTGGTGGACAATACCCCTTCATCCTGTGGCTATGCCCCTCCCCCAACCAGCACCGCCCTCACACAGAGCCTCTGCCCACCCCCAGACCCCTTCCGGGGTCCAGCCAGCCTCCTGGCCCTGGCCTCTCCCTCAAGGCCTCCTACCTTAAGCCCTTGGTGCCTGGGGCGCTTGGCACAGTTTCCCATGGGTCCCCGTACCACGCCAGGCCGGGAGTCCTGGGCTGGCCTCGGGCAGCTCCCTCGGCCCCCCAGCCTCTCCCCCTGACAGCCTGGAGGACTGCGGGAGATTTTCCAGGGTTTTGTGGGGAAGACTGGGGGCGGGTGGGCAGCAGGCGGGCCCTGGGCAGGGGCTTGGGCCCTAATCCGGGATAATCTCTGAGTATCTCTGCTGGTGAGGGGGGCTACTTGGGGCCTGAGGCCCCCGGGAAGGCACAGTCTCCCCACACTCACTCCTGGGGTTCTCCCGGGTACCCCCTCTCCAGCTTCCTTCTCACCCCACCGCCTTTCCTCCCAGTTTCTCCCAATCAGGAGAGCTTTAACGTTTCCAGATGCAAGGCCAGGGTCCTGGAGGAGGCAGCCAGATGCTTGTGTGCTGGGAGGGCTGGGGCATCTCAACCCGTGGAGTGATGGTACCGGGTGCTTGGAACACCCCAGGGACACCGCCGACCCTCCTCCCACCGCCTGGCCCGTTTGGCCCAGCCCAGAAGCCCCGCCCTCTCCCCACCAGCACCCTGGCTCTGCCCTAGGCTCCCTACCCCAGGGGCCCTCCCTAGGCTGTTTGCCCTTGGCACTCCTGCCTGACTAGCCTCCTGCCCCCTCTCACCTGTGCTCGGAGGGGATATGGAGGAAGCTGACTCTGGGTGCTGCGGTTGGTGACAGGGCTCAGTGAGGACAGAGGTGGGGATGTGGCTGCCCCCATCTCTGCTGACTGGCTGACTGGCCTCTCCATCCACATATGTCCTGGGACCCCCTCCCTGGCTGGGTCCCCAGCGGGTGTGTGGGGTCCCCACTGTTCCCCCAGGGCCCTGCAGTTGAGGACAGCCACCTTGGGCCCCTTTACCTGCCCGTAGGCCGCCTGCACCTGGGCCTCAAGCTCCCGGAGGAGGGTGTGCCGCCTGTTGACCTCTGGGCTGTCCGGGGCGCGGCTGGGCCCTGGAATGCCCACTGAGGGGCTGGGATCCCCGGTGGGGAGGCTGCCATCAGCCAGGCCCTGCGGCAGGGCCATGGGGGTGAGGACTTGGCGCCTCCTGCTGGCGGAGGGCCACTGCCCCAATCTGGCCTCGTGTACCCTGTGGGAGGATGGCGCAGCGGGCAGCTGAGGGGATGGTCCCTGAGACTCCCTGCTGGTCTCCTCCCTGCTCCCCCTCCGTGGGCCCATAGGGACCCATCCCCCCAAAGTCCCAAGTCCTTCCTAGTCCTCACTGCCCCAGCCTGGCCAGTCCCTCCCCAAATTCCTTGTTCTTATCCCATGTGGCTGCCATGTCCCACCCCAGTGGGGCTTACTCCACACCTAGGGGACCCCTGACCATCCTTGCAGACTCCTGGCCCCCTGCCCTCCCACCTGGGACATTAGCCTCCGGCCCCCCCAGTCCTTCTGCCTCTGTCTCGCGGGTTTGTGGCCTCCCTTTCTCCTTCTCTAGCTCTTCCCACCACACTCCTTTCTGCTCTGGGCCTCTGTGCACCCCTGCTCCATGGCGGTCTCTGTGTCTGTCTTACGCCCTGGCTTCCTGTCTGTTTACTGTGGTCCCTCTCCGTGCCCGGTGCCCTCAGCTATCTTCTGTCTCAGCCTCTGTCCGGCAGTGTCTCTGGGGGTCTCTGACCCACCTCATGCCCCTCTCTCTGCCGCCTTGGGGCTTTTTCTCCCACCTGTCTGCCCATCCTTGCTCCTCCTATTCCCCCACCCACCTACCATCCTTGTGGTTCCCGACCCTCCTCCTTGCCCTCCCCCCAGAGCCCCAGGGCACCTCTCCTCTTGCTGCCTGCCACCTCCTGCAGTGCCCCCACTGGGGTCCTGCTTCTCAGGAGCCCCTTCTGCGGCACAGACCGCTTACCGCAGGGCGCCTGCTCCTCACCTTCCAGAATGAGGTCAGTTGTCCTGCTGCGGCCCCACTGCAGGCCCCTCATGACTTATTCACCTGCCCCTGCACCGGCCTTTGTCCCAGGGAATCAGATCCTGCCAGACGCCTGCCATCTGAGCTGATGGCTCCAGCCTCTCTCGGCCACACGCCACCCATTCATGTATTCTGTCTGCGGATGTCTCTGGAGGCTGTCCTGAAGGGCCCGTTCCCAGGCACAGCTAACCAGGAAAAGGGCCACCAGGCAGCCACCAACGCTTGGAAGGCAAAACCCTGGGAGGCTTCATGGGGGAGGTGGGAGGTGCAGCAACGTTCTGGCCATCGCACATGACTGCTTCATCCACCCCTGGCTCTGGGGGGTGCTGGGTTCCCGGCATGGGTCATTGGGCGCTTGGAGGGTCTGGCAGTGCATGTTGGGTGGAGGTCCTCCCTCAGGACGGCGGGAAGGAGGACTCGCTGGCGTCTGGAGGGGGTATTGTTGTTGTGTGCCTTCGAGTAAATTCCGACTCCATAGCGCCCCCTGTGACAGAGTAGATCTGCCCCACAGGGTTTTCTAGGCTGTGCTTTTTACAGAAACACATTGCCCTGTCTTTTGACCGTGGAGCTGCAAGGTGGGTAAAAACCACCAACCTTTTGGTTAGCTGTCGAGAGCTTAACCGTTGTGCCACCAAGGCTCCTTGGAGAGGGTATAAACCAAACCAAACCCATTGCCATTGTCGATTCTGACTCATAGCAACCCCTGTTGTGTTTCCAAGGTGGTAAATCTTTATGAAGTAGACTCATCTTCCTTCCACGGAGTGGCTGGTGGTTTTGAACTGCCAGCCTTCTGGTCAGCAGTCAAATGCCTTAGGCTCCAGCTCCTTTGGAGGGGGTATAGGTAGCAAAAAGCGGGAGAAATGTTCTGAGGGTCTGAATGTTCAGCCTGCATCTGCTGAGAATCAGCTAGGAGCCTTCCTCGGTGCTGGGAACCATCCCTGCTCCTGGAAGTTTCCACCTGGTGGGAGATGCAGTTTCCACAAATCCAGAGTTAACAGCAGATGGGTAAATGCATCAGGTGTGACAAGAAGAAGGAGAATGGGACCTCCCTGTGATGGGGACTGGGGAAGGATGATGGCAGTTAGCAACTGAAGGGAAGGGTGGGGCCTCGGGCCAAGGGCACAGCCTCCACACGCCCCCCAAGGTGGGCTTAAGGGTCTGTGGGAAGGCCAGTGTTGAAGAGACGCTGGTCAGGTGGCCAGGGGAGGAGAGGGCTCGTTGCAGTTTGGAGGCTGTCTTCAGCAGGCCCTTGAGCTCTTCTGCACCCTGGGTCACATCTCCTGGAGGCCAGAAGTGCCCTGCTCCCCAGGCAGCACCCCATGACGTTCCCCCATAGCTGGCGATTCTCCCCACTTTCTGCAAGGAGAAAGGGTCTGTTGGCCTGGATTCCACCATGCACTTGCCGTGTGACCCTAGGCTGTATTTTTCATCTCTCTGAACCTCAGTTTCTTCATCTGGAAAATGAGAATTGACCTAGTATCTACTTCATGGTGCCATTGTGAGGATTAAATGATAAAAGACCTAGCAGGTTCCTGGCACATAAGAAGGGCTGAAAAAATGGTGGCTGCACCTGTGAAGAGGGCTTCCATGTCCAAACAGCCATCCAGGGAGGTGGGAAGTGAAGGGAAAAGTGTGTTGCAAAGTACAGTCTAAAGTAGTGGGGGCTATGACTGGTCAGGACACAGTGGATGGAAGAGTTTTCATCTAGGGAGCAAAGGCTTGTGTCTAGGTGGAGAGGAGAGGCTGCTTGGAAAGCCCTCCTGGTTTGTGCTCAATGGGAAGCGTCCTACAGTACTTGGCTTAGTGGCCCAGCCTGACTCAACCAAGCTGGGGTCCCAGTCCAGTGTCCAGGGTGGATGGATCAGTGGTGACCGATGGGCAGACAGATGGGTGGATGGATGGGTGGGTGGATAATTTGATGGGCTGGTGTTTGAATGGTTGGTGGTCAGAAGAATGGATGGTTGAGTAAATGAATGGATAGACGAATGGAAGGATGAATGGGTAGATATGTAAATGCATAGTTGGGTGGATAGATGGGAAGTTGCATGGAGAGATAGACAAGTGGATGGTTGAATGAAGAGGTGGGTGGCTGACTGGGTGGAAGGACGGGTAGATGATTTGATGGGCTGGTGGTTAAATATTTAATGGTTGGTTGGATGGACGATTGTACAGATAGATGGGTGGGTGATTGGATGACTAGATAGATAGATGGTTGAAGAGATGGATGGATGGATGAGTGAATGGATGGATGGATGAGTAAATGAATGGATGGATGAGTGGATGGGTGGATGCACAGGTAGATGGATAGATGAATTGACAGACAGATGGATGATTGAGAGGATAGATGGGCAGTTGGAGGGTTAGATGGATTGATGGCTAGACCTGTGGCTTGATGGGCTTATGGTTGAATGGTTGCTGGATGGATGACTGGGTACGTGGGTGAATAGATGAATAGATGGATGGATGGAGCATTATCTGATATGCACTAATGAATGCATAAATGAAGGACTGTGTCTGTCTCTCTCCATCTCTGAACTGTGACTCCTCAGATGGCAAAGATCGTGGCTTCTTCTTCACTGTGTTTTCTACAAGCTGAATCCAGCAGTTGGCACTGGTAAGCACCAGGCACAGAACCCCAATGAGATACCATTTCACACCTAATAAAAAAATTGGAAAAACAAGCTCATTGCCATTGAGTCGATTCTGACTCATAGCGACCCCCCATTGAGTTTCTGACGCGGTAAATCTCTACGGAAGTAGATTGCCCAGTCTTCCTTCCATGGAGTGGCTGATGGGTTTGAACCGTCAAACTTCTGGTTAGCAGTCAAATGCCTTAGGCACTGTGCCACCAGAGCTCCTTTTCACACCCAATAGGATGGCCAAAATGAAACAGACAGACCATGACAGGTATTTGTGAGGATGCAGGGAAGTTGGAACCTTCATCCATTGTTGGTGAGCATGTACGGTGGTGCAACGACTTTAGAAATGGGCAGTTTCTCAGAAAGCTAAGCACAGTGTTATCATGTGACCCAACAACGCCTCCCCTAGGTGTCTACCCAAGAGAAGTAAAAGCGTATATCCACATGAATGCTTGTTCACAAATATTCAAAACAGCATCATTCATGTTGTTGTTGTTATGTGCCGTGGAGTCGGACCCGACTCATAGCGGCCCCTCCTTGGGTTTCTGAGGCAGTATCACTATGGAAGTAGATTGCCCCATCTTCCTTCTGAGGAGTGGCTGGTGGGTTTGAACCGTCAGCCTTCTGGTTAACAGTCAAATGCCTTAGCCACTATACCACCAAAGCTCCCAGCATCACTCATAGTAGCCAAAAAGTGGAAACTACCCAAATGCCACCAGTTGATGAATGGGAGAGCGGTATATCTACACAATGGCATATGATTGAGCCATAAAGAGACGTGAAGATCTGTTATGTCTACAACATGGATGGACTTTGAATACACTGTCACCAAAGGCCACATACTGTTTGATTCCACTTATAGGAAAAGTCTGGAGTAGAGAAATCTGTAGAGGCAGAGAGCAGATGAGTGGTTGTCAGGGGCCAGGGAGAAGAGGAAATCGAGACACCGCTAATGCATATGGGGTGTGCTTTGGGGTGATGAGAGTGAGATTAGTGGTGATGGGTGAACAACCTGTGAAGATACTAAAAACCACCGAGGTGTATACTTTCTACAGGTGAAGTTTATGGTTTGTGAGTTCTGTTTCAATAAAGCACCACACACAGGTTCAGTGGGCACCAGGACTGGAGGTTGCTGATGGACAGAGGGACTGCCTGACCTGTTGGGCTGGGAAAGCATCGCTCTGGGTCCCAGAGGAGGGTGGCCACACAGCTGGTCTGGCTGGAGTGGAGCAGCCGGGAACAGTACCTCGCAGCTACGCCATCCTGGGGGACAGCTTGCCCATGGGCTCCGTGCAGGGTGGCTGAGGATGGCCCAGGTCGGTGGTGCCTCTATGCAAAGGGAGGGGCGGTGGTGCTCCAGGCTAGAGCCAGGGCTCCAAGTGGGTCTGAATCCCAGCTCTGAGCCTTGGCGTCTGCATCTATGTAATGGGAACAAGGACGGCGGCCCCTCAGAGTCATTACAGGGATGAGACCATCTGCATGAGAGCTCTTTGTAAGCTGCTAAGTGCTGGGCAGATGTTCTTCAGCTGTGAGTCAGGGATGATGGGTAATCCAGCTCGGGGGTGGGGGGGTCAGCTCTGGCCCCAGGCAGCTCTGGGCTCAAACAGGCCCCAGTACAGCGGAGGGGAAACTGGCCCCTCTGAGCCCCTGCTGCAGAGGGGGCCCCAGCTTTCACCGGGTTTGGTCCCCAGGCTTTGGTAGTTTTGTTCCTGGGAAGGATGCTTTCCTCTCTCCTAAAACCAAAAAGCAAACCCACCACCATCAAGCCCCTTATAGCCCCTAGAGGACAGAGTAGAACTGCCACAGGGTTTAGTGCCAAAGGCATTTTGACTGCTAACCAGAAGGTTGGCGGTTCAAACTCACCAGCCACTGCTCAGAAAGCAGATTGGGCAATCTACTTCCGTAGAGGTACTGCCTCCGAAACCCAGTGATGGGTGGCTATGAGTCAAATCGACTCGATGGCAGTGAGTTCGTTTTTTTTTGGAAATCTTTATGGAAGCAGACTGCCTCATCTTTCACCTGTGGAACAGCTGGTGGGTTCAAACCACTGACCTTTTGGTTAGCAGCTGTGTGCTTTAACCATTGCTCTACCAGAGCTCCTAGTGACAGAGAAATCAGGCCCAAGTTCCCAGGGAGGACCACTGAGAGCCCCTGAGGGAGGCAACAGTCGGGAGGAGAATGGGCTGTGGGTTCCAGGCAAGCCTGCTGGAAGGACACAGCCCTCTTGGGTCCAGGAGGCCCGGCCGATTCCCGTCTGTCCATCTTCCCATCCACCCATTTCCTCAGCCAGCATTTGGAGGGTGTGGCATGCCCCGAGTCTGTCAAAGAAACGGTTTGTACGGTTTGTAGACTACAGCCATGCAGAGGAAGGAAGTAGGGTGAAAAGTGAGGCCCCTGCAGCCCAGTGGACCTGGCTCTCCTGCTGACTAGCTGTGTGACCTCAGGCAAGTCACTTAACCTCTCTGTGCTTTGGTGTGTTCATCTGTAAAATGAGGATCAGAGCAGTCTCTAGTCTTGCTGTTATCGTTAGGTGCCGTCGAGTCGTCTCCGATTCATAGTGACCGTATGTGCAGCAGAAAGAAACACGCCTGGTCCCGTGCCAGCCTCAGGGTCCTTGCCAGACCTGAGCCCAGCGTTGCAGCCACTGTGTCAGTCCATCTCGCTGAGGGCCTTTGCCTTCTTCGTTGACCCTCTACTTTACCGAGCATGACATCCTTCTCCAGAGAGTGGTTCCTTCTGACAACGTGACCAAAGGTGAGACGAAGTCTGGCCGTTCTCGCTTCCAAGAAGCATTCCGGCTGTACTTCTTCCAGGACAGATCTGTTAGTCCTTTTAGCAGTCCATGGTACTCTTAGCATTCTTCTCCAGCACCACAGCTCAAAAGTATCAACTCTTCTTTGGTCTTCCTTATCCATTGTCCAGCTCTCACATGCATAAGAGGCGACTGAAAATCCCATGGCTTGTGTCAGGCGCACCCTAGTCTTCAACGAGACACCTTTGCTCTTCAGCACTTGAAAGAGGTCTTGTGCAGCGGTGTTCTGGTTCCTAGTGCCGCTCTGACAAGAATATACTGCAAAGGGGATGCTTGAACAAACAGGAGTTCATTCTCTTACAGTTTAGGAGGTTTTAAGTCCAAGTTCAGAGTGCCAGGCTCTAGGGGCTGGGTGAAAGCCCCTCAACCTTGGAATCCAGCTCTGCCTCCTGCTCCCGGCCCACTGGAGCTAGAGGCATCTGTTCACTCAGACAGCTGCTGTCTGCTGAGGCTGCCAAGCCCAAGGTTGACAAGTAAAAAGGCACAGTCCCAATGTTACCAAACCACACAGCAGACCACGAATTCAAGTCCATTGAAAGTCCTAAGGTTGGCAGGGCATGGCAGGCTGCTGAACAATGACACAGCTACATGCAGGGCTCAAGCGTGCCATAGGCTAGAGACCGTTCCCCAAGGCTTCTCCTTATATACAAGAAGCTGACCACATCCCTAAGGCAGCTACTTAGCTGCTCACAGAAGATTCCACCATGGAGCTGATTACCAGTCTCATCATGGGGAATACTCCATCCAGCTGCCCAGCCACTCAACCAGGCCCAGCCAACTTGACACACAAACTTAACCACCACAAGCAGGTTTGCCCAATGCAATTCGTCGTCTGATGTCTTGACTGCTGCTTCCATTGGTGTTGATTGTGGAACCAAGTAACACAAAATCCTTGACAATTTCAATCTTTTCTCCATCCACCGTGAGGCTGTTTATTGACCATTTGTGAAGATTTGTGTTTTCTTTATATTGAGGTGTAATTCATACTGCAGACTGTCGTCTTTAATCTTCATCAGTAAGTGCTCCAAGTCATCCTCACTTTCAGCAAGCAAAGCTGTGTCGTCAGCTTATCGCATGTTTAATGAGTCTTCCGTCTCTAGTCTTAGTGCTGTAGTATGTGCAAAGTCTTCGATGCAATCCTGTTTGCTGCGGTTGTCACCACGGAGGGATGGTGTGTTAATGGAGATACCTTTTTATTGACGTGGTATTCATTCATTCATTCCACAGACGTTTGTTGAGCACCTACTGTGTGCCAGTGCTGGGGACCCAGCTGGCAGCAGGTACCGGTTCTGGCCCTGTGTGTTTGGGGGTGGAGTGGGTCGCTGTGTGATGCTAAGTGTGGGTGCCTCTTGGAAAGTTACTGCCTGAAGGCTGGTTCCGTCCCTGCACCTTGTCCCCACTCACCCAGACCCCCAGGCCCCGCCCCTGCCCTGCCGCATTCTTGGGGTGGGCGGGGAGAGGAGGGGGCGGAGCAGAGCAATTAATACAAGCCTCCGGCTGCTCCCTACTTCCTGTCACCCTTGCACTTCACGCCGGACAGTGAGTGGGGTTGGAACTGGGTCGGGACGGGA